GATAGTGGCGCTCATATCGGTAATTTTAGCCGTCCTGGTTCCCTCCCTCCCGGCGGTGTCGCTGTCCGCCCGTGGCCCGACTGTCCCACCAGACTCACCAGCCCCCACGCGTTCATCTCGGTGACGTAGCGGCCGACGGGGAAGGCGATGCCGTAGCCGCCGTAGATGCCCCAGTTGAAGATGGCCATGACGAGTCCACGCTTCTCCTGCGCGGCGGCAGAGCAAAGAGAGGAAGGCATAAGGAACCAAATGGGGGGGGGGTAGATTTCTTTTTTTCCGGGGACGACAGCGAGGAGGGCATAAATTCACAAGTTTCCCGCGGCCCTGCGGGGCGCGGGGCGCGTCCAGGGGAAGGTCATCTCCCCGGGGCTCAAGCCCGCCTGCCCGGCCCGTCCCGGACGGCGGGCGTGGGTCAGGCCCCTTCCCGCTGGGTCCGCCGGCTCGGGGAAGAGTCGACCTCACCTCAGGAAAGATGTCGGATAGGATTCCAGTTGCCATGGGGTTGCACGCCGACTCCCTGGGGGCAAGGAACATGTAGCGTTAGACCCGGCAAGCTCGCTCGCGCAAGCACACACCTACACACAGGAGGAAGGCAGCTCACCCGGCCGCCAGCAGGATTCTCAGCAGCACGAGGTGCCAGTACTCCTTGACGGCACCGGTGAGGATGATGGCGACGGAGAAGATGATGGAGCACACCGAGAGGATCCGCGCCCTGCAATCGGCATTCAAATCTATTATGTCAATTTTTCAAAAATACGCTGGAAATTGAGTTTTAGTTAAAACTGAACGTCGCGCGCCAGTTGGGCTGCCGGGTCGCGGACTCACCGGTTGAAGCGGTCGGCGGCGATGCCCAGGATGACGCCCATGAAGGTGAAGACCAGGATGAAGGCGGGGCCGGCGATGACCTGGTAGTCGATGCCGAGGCCATTGCGGTCCCACTCGCAGTACGTGGAGCCGTTGACGGCGAGCGCCTGGCAGCTGCGCACACATCAGGGAAAGGACGCCGTTTGAGCGGGGAAGGACGCCACGACGGCAAGTGTCCGAGGAGTGACGCTCAGCGCGTCCACACAAACAGACGAACACACACGTGTTCGCACGCTCACACTTCGTGCGCACGACGCGCCTGGTAGGCTGCCTGGGTCACCCCAATCAGCTCTATTGTGCGCGACCCATTCAGTCACAACGAAATACACGACAAAACCACGACTTTTCCTCTATGCCCCTCTCCTCCCCCCTCTCAGCCGCTCGCTAAAACCGTCCCGGGCGGCGGCCCGGGCTGGGCGGCCTGCACGGCAAAGAGTTTGGCGGGAAGGGGGTAGAGAGGGGGTGTGGGATGGAACGGGGGTCGGGTCGGGATGGTCATTGTTAGCACTGCGTTGTCGGATTAATGCGTTATGGGTCGAGCCGAGTGGCCCCGGTCCCCGTACGCCATGGGCCACGAGGAGCCGAGTGCGGGGCGTTGTGCTATGAGTCCCCTCCCCCTCCTCCCCCATGAAAGCCACGCGGTGGGCCCAACCATAGACACCCACCATGGAGTCCGAGAATGAAGTCGTCCCACCATGTAGTCCCAGAGGATTGGAGTCAAACAATGGAAACCCAGAGACCACAGAGTCCCAAAATGAAGTCTCACCACGAAGAGCCACCGGGTAGAAGTCCCCTGCTCGGGCCCCACCGTGAGCCCCAACCATGTCCATGTTGAGCCCCACGATGAGCCCCGGCGGCATGGACACCCTCTTGCCCACCATCCCTTTCTTCCCCCAAGGGAGCACGTAATTTATAAACGAGCCGCGAGGACCAACTTTTGGTAACAAGCTGACACTCTGCCTTTTGCGGTGCGAGGTGGCGGTGTGCGCGGTAGGGCGCGGGTGTCCGGGTGGGTCGGAGGGAGTGGAGAGGGAGGGG